TCCAATATTAAATATATATATATATATATATATTTAAATATATAAATCAATAAATAATAATGATAAAATAAAGAGCCTTAAACAGAACAACATGTGTGGAAGCATCGGAGTGTGTATATATGAATGCTACACAGTATTCATCTATAGACATCCATATATGGTGAAACACATGTGAAGAACCTCTCACACACTCACAGCTCCCTGACAAGAGGGAGCCAGCTTAGCTTAGCTGCCAACTAAGTGTATTATGGATTTTTAATCACATTTTGGATGAATTAAGGACGTGCCCGAACCGCTATGAGTGCTAGTGGCTGTACAAGAATGTAACAACTCCTGTATATATAAATAATAAAACATTATGGCCGAAGAGGAGGAGGACGAGGGAGAGAATCAGTAATAGCGAGAATCCGTCTTGGATACAAATATCCATGGAGATTCGGAATGGAAACAACAGTTGATCAGCGAAGTTGCAGAATCTGTGGTGAGAGTGACGGACACCACCTTGACCACTATCTACGTGAATGTGAACACCTGAGAGACATTAGGAATATGTGTAGAATAATAAACCCCACATTGTTTGAGTTAGGAAAACACTATTTGTCAAATATTGATACTGTTCTTAAAAGATTCCCCCATTTTGCACCCGCAAGATAACGTAAGCTATTAAAGGTTGACAGATGTTAATCTTCTTGTTTGAGGAGCTGTTCACTTGAGACAGTTAAGCAAGTCCCAGCTGTGTCTGGGTACAAGTGACAGGATGAACAACCCAGCGGGTTTTCTTCCTATTGGAGAGTGTTGTACATGCTGCTATGGCGGTGTGTCCACTCACAGGATGAGTGGCGCTGCCCAATAAACTCGCCCCTCGGGGCAAAATTTAAAAAAAAATTTTTTTTTACAAGAATGTAAAACTTCAGGTCTCTGTACTCTCATAAACCCAATGTACCTTCCTGTATATACAGATAAATAATATAATGCTAGAATGCCCAAAACGCTACGCGTACTAGTGGCTGTACAAGAATGTAAGAACTCTTGTATATATAAATAAATAAAATATGTAAATAAATATGCGTGCACAAGACATCATTATACAATAGTGTATGCTTTGAAAGCTTAAAGAGAATGATTCATGCGAACATAAATAGAAAACGATGTGACGTTGGAATGTGAATAGGGTACACTACAGCAAACATGATGGATATAGGATCAACAACAAGTCACAGGATGTGTATGGGGTCCACTAATACCTGTAGCATCGGTATTGTTATAATTCAGCAGGAAGAGAAACGAACGTGCGCTCCACATGGCGTTTATTACAACAACAAAACAATGGCGTCACCGGGTGTAGGTTACATGACTTACTGTTTACAATGCTTATAAAACAGAAGAGCATTTGCCCGAAACATTATGCATCTAACCTATATGGTACTTAATCCTACAAAATACCTTAATCCTAAAATTCCTCACTTTTTAATTAAACTCTACCCCTACAGGTTAAGTCTATCAGGCGGTCGTATGACTCTTCCTGATTTTCTCAACTGGGGGTTGAGTTACTTGTTATTTATGGGAAACATTCTTCTGAACTACTCCTTGTAGAGTCCATAGGGTTAACTGTATCCCCATTACCCTCTGCTGCCCCTTGCTCTGCCTCCCTGTCTCCTGCAGGTGCTTCTGCCCCTTCATTATTAGGATGGGTATCACTAGTTGCCCCACCCCCACCTGAAGGGTCTTCAAAATTCCCCGTGAACCTTGGCATGAGCTGATCTGCATGTCTTTCCCAATTAATGTTCCCAAAACTCTGCACTTGCACAGTGAAATTCCTGCGGCCTAAGACTTCCATAATTTTCCCTACTACCCAAGGCTTACTCAATACAAAATTCCTTCCATATACTGCATCCCCCTCGTTAAATAACACTTCATCTCCCTGAGCCAACTGACTGGTCAAGCTTGTTACAGATTTTTCTTTATCTGGATCTGTCTTTACTGCTTCCATGTGCACTTTGAAGTGCTTATTAAACAGTAATTCAGAAGGAATTTCCCCAGCGGTAGAATGAACAGTTTTTCTTTGATTATACAAAAACCTACAAAGCCTTGTATTAATAGTTCCTTCCGTAAACCACTGTGACTCTCTTTTAAGGATCTCACTGCTCTCTTCGCCAGGCCATTTGAAGGATTATAAGGGGCAGGTGTTACATGTTTAATACCATTCTTTCTAAAAAAAAAAAAATCCACTATTTCCCTAGAAACAAAATAAGGAGCATTGTCTGACACCACCATGTCTGCCAATCAAAAATTACAAAATGTTTTCCTGAGCAGTTCAAAAGTTACAGATGATGTGGTGGAATTACACACATGAGCATCCAAAAATTTTGTGTATGAATCCACCATCACCAGGTAATATTTGTTATCCATAGGCCCAACATATTCTGTATGACGTCTAGACCTGGATTTCCCAGTTCATGGCCAGGAATGTACTGGGGCCTGGGGTTTCTGATAATTTTTAAAGCAAATGTGACAATTTTTAGTTACTTCAGCAATAGGTCCATTTTTGGCCACCAAACCCAACTTCTAGCTTCTGCTTTCATAGCATTTATGCCATTATTGCCTTGCCCGAAACGCATTGCGTAATAGTGGCTTTAGGCATTGTATGTACTAGCTCTATCTATATATCAATCCATTAATGTAACATCACTTGTATGTATGTATGTACCTTACCTGAATAAACATATTTATTTTATTTATTTATTTTATTATGGCCTACATGCAGCTGTTCCAAAATCTTACATCTCAGTTCTCCAGGCACCACCATTCTATTCCTATACAAGAGTACATCCTGATGAATACTTAAAGTCAGCCTTTACTGTAGCATACCCCTGACAACTCAATTTATCATACTCTGATAAATTATCATTCCAACCATATTTGACATATTTTATCAACAGATTTAATTTGGGATCTCTACCAGTTGCCTTCCTAATAGTCTGGAATGAAATATCCTCAAAAGGCATAGATTCCACCAGGTTAACATACTCTACTGGAATACTGGAATTTAATTCTTCTCTCACAGGAAATCTACTTAATGCATCAGCTACTACATTATCCTTGCCTGGCTTAAACTCTAAATCATACTCAAACTGCGAGAGTAGTAATGCCCATCTTTGAAGCAGAAGTAAAAGCCCATTTAAATTGTAAATCCAAGTTTTCTGCCACCAGGTTAGGGAGAAATATCTCATTTTCTACTGCCTTGAACAACTGGTCCCTCAACCGGTAGTCAAACTCTGAGGGACCAGTTGTTCATGACAACTTGTTCCAAAGTTTCAGTTGCAAGCCAACGTCTTCAAATCCGCATATAAATCCTGTAAGGATTCCTGTTGCCTTTTCGCCCTCTTGTGGAAATCCGTCAAACTCCTGTGATATAAAGGTTTCACTATATAATTTATTACTATAGAAAGGTAATCAGGTCTTCGTAGGTCTTCATAGGTCATAGGTCATTTCTGTCCCGCCCGGGATTCGAACCCGGAATTTTCGATTGTGGGTCGATCGTACTACCGGGACGGTGGAGCCCTATTTTAAATGGACCCCATATTAATCTTGTGAGCGGTAGTGCACCCCATACCCATCCTATGGGTTGGAATGGACCCCATACCCATCCTGTGGGTGGGAGTGGACCCCGTACCCATCTTGTTTGCCGGAGTATACCCTATAGACATTCAATCGTCACGTAGTTTTCTGTAGGCATTCGTACGAAGCATGCATGAAGTTTTTCAAACCATAAACTATTGTATAATGTTGTTTGGCGCAAACGTCATTATTGTATTCAATATTTTATAGAGTACTTATTATAATTTATTGAGAAGCCCCAAGATTCTCCTAAGTGCTAGCCTTTAATAGGATGCACCGTAGAATAGTGGTTAAAATTATGGGTTGAAACATGAGTTGACACAGAATGGAAACATTATAACTATTTTAACTATTTCCATTTTTAGTAAAGAGAACATTCAGCTGTCATCATCGCTGACGAGTTCACAAAAATCTTAATTATTAAGCCTTAAAATCATCAAAAATACTGAAATAAGGAGCCATAGGAGGTAGTAGCTATGTGTACCACAGTTGAACTATGAATGTAGTTTCATTTCCAGAACTCATTGAGGCAACGATAGAGAAACTATTAGGCAAGGTGGAGGGTGGTAGAAATAGCCTAAGCTACTCTATCCCTTTGAGATGTATTTATTGCTTATCTCAATAAACATACTTGAACTTGAACTAGGCAAGGTGGAGGAATTAAATATAACAAAGGTTGAGAGGATAGGTAGGCCTGAAGGAAATTTGGTATGAATAACCACTGCAAAATTTTAACACAAAAGGTTTACACTCAGCAGGGCCAGGGGAGGGTTGATCGGGCGCCAATCATTAACTGTAGCCACTGTTCACCCTGCAGTGAATGAGTATGTGGTTGTTAAACGATTTGGCGGGTCATATTCAGGGGGAAAATTAGTTTTGAAGACTTGCCAGAAACGCTACGTATGGTAGTGGCTTTACAAGAATGTAAAAACCCTTGTATATAAAAAAAAAAAATCCAAATGCTTGGGAGAACCAAGTGCCTTTTTTCGAATCTCCCTCATGGCTCCTACTGATTTTCTCATGCTGTTATTCCTTTGCTCTAGCTTAAAATACCATATAAAGTGTATTGAGTGTGTGTGTAGATACTATACTAGGGATACATGCTAGAGATATTTACCTCTAATTCCTCAGGATCATATTTAGCTAGATAACCCCTGATCATTTAGTGACCACTGAGTGCTTATTAACTAGTTGCAGTATATTTTAATCAAGCGAGTTCTGAATTAATTAATAACACTTTAACGCAACCGGACCGTTGCGAAAATGGAGGAAATTATTATTTTTACTTTGTGCTTCCACAATTTCCCTGATAACTATGAATTATGACTTAAAAGTGTATGGGTAAGTGAAGACTTCTCAGAGGATACATAAACATCTTTACATTAAAAACATTTCTGTATTAATTAAAATACAATAACATTTATAGTGTCAATGAGTGAACAGCAACATTATATGTAGATATAACTGTCCAGTAAGTTCTATAATAATTCTAGTTATTGTGAGTGAACAGTAACATTATATATAGAGATATCTGTCCAGTAAGATATATTATAATACTAGTTACTGTGAATGAACAGTAACTTTATATGTAGAGCTATCTGTCCAGAAAGATATATAATAATACTAGTTACTGTGATTGAAGTTACATTTTACCTTGCACGTAATGAGAACTATCAGTTACATTCTATATAAAAATAAACAGGGGATAGTGCCTAAGAGTAAATTGTTACTCCTTATTCTAAATATAATGTATATAAATAAATACCAAATAATTAATGAACTATAACTCCACATTGTTCACATCCATCAAAACAATAAATTAAACTACCAGTCAAATTAATATAAATGCCTTGTATATCTGGCAACAAAGAGTTCTATACTAATCATACTAAATAAACAATACAGTATTTAAACTTAGACCTGTGGATAAAAATTATTACCATTTTAATTAATGTCACTCTCTCAAGTAAGTTATAAATAAGTAAATTAATAATTGCAGAAACTATGCCTAGCCTAGATTAACCACCACAAATGAAATGCTCACAAAATAATGCTAACTCTGCAGTTAAGCTAATATCAATGCTAAAGTCTGACAAAATGAAATGCAAGAATAAAGTGGAAATTAATGACTAAAACCAATATAATTCCCAGATGCAAGCTAATAAAAATTCAAGAGTAAATGAACAAATCCACAAGGGCCTTGATGAGGGTTTGATCCTATGCACGGGATTTTACCAGATGCGCTTTAGTCAACTGTGCCACGACATGGTCAAAAGAATTGCAACCTGGAGTGCTACTGCCCTGACAAGAATCCCGAAGCTTCTCCGAAGTCTAACCAGGGTTTCACACAATTCCCCCATGCACCCGGACTGTCAACCAGATGTTCTACCACTACGCTCCTACTTTAATACAAACAGAAATCACATTAATGTGATATATCAAATGAACAAATCCACAAGGGGCCTAGATGAGGATTCGAACCTTCGCACAGGATGTTTCCAGATATGTGTGAAAACCTGGTTAGGCTTCGGAGAAGCTTTGGGATCCTCGTGAGGGCAGTAGCACTCTAGGTTACAATTATTTTGACTATGTTGGTGTACAGTTGACTAAAGCGCATCTGGGTACATCCTGTGTGTAGGTTCGAACCCTCATCAAGGCCCTTGTGGATTTGTTCATTTGATATATCACGTTATTGTGATTTGTGTGTACTGAAGTAGGAGTGTACAATATTCTTAAACAAAGATATTGTAAACAAGGTAACAATAAAGATATTGTAATGATATTTGTTTACACATTGAATATTTTAAGTCCTTCTTCTTTCAAGCAGCTTCCTTGGTGAGGTTCATATAAATTTGACTAAAATGGAGAAGCTTAAATACCACTTTCTGCCAAGCTTTGCCTAACATGATCAAGTATATTTCTCACACACACACACACACACACACACACACACACAACTTTGTTGATTGACGGTTGAGAGGCGGGACCAAAGAGCCAGAGCTCAACCCCCGCAAACACAACTAGGTGAGTACAACTAGGTGAGTACACACACACACACACACACACACACACACACACACACACACACACACACACACACACACACACACACACACACACACACAGAAATAAAATGTAGGACATCCATGTGAAAAGGTTATATTAGCAGAATTTTTATATAAGAACTCACAATTTCCTTAACCCTTTGTAGGATGCCCAGCTGACACAGTAATAGCATGGTATTCTAAATATGAAGCTCAGTTTCCTAATAGAATATTGAACAAGTCTGAAGTTAATGTCCCAGTATGTATCTGAAATAGTTGGACAACTTAACTGAATGACACTTTAAATTTAACTTGGTTACTAAGATTTTTTTCTCACTAATCTTAGTGAGGTTAGTCACCAGGATGCAGTAATATGTGACGTATTATATTTTTACGGTGCTTAAATTTTTTTCCACACACGGCACATTCGTGCATTTTAGCACCAGTATGGACTAACATATGCCTCTTTATATTCTGAAGCTGGCTGAATCTTTTCCCACATTCTGGACATTCGTGCAATTTATCACCAGTATGAACTAACATGTGAGTCTTCATATTACCAAGACGACTGAAGTTTTTCCCACACTGTGGACATTTATGAGATTTACCACCCTTATGCACCAACATGTGAGCTTTCATAGAACCAAGACGGCCGAAGCTTTTCCCACACTCAGGACACATGTGAGTTTTATCACCCGTATGCACCAACATGTGAGTCTTCAAATTTCCCAAATGTCTAAAACTTTTCCCACAATCTGGACACACGTGAGGTTTATCACCCGTATGCACTAACATGTGAGCCTTCATATTATCAAGACGTCTGAAATTCTTCCCACACTCTGAACATTTGTGAGGCTTATCACCCGTATGCACCAACATGTGAGTCTTCATAGATCCAAGTCGGCTGAAGTTTTTCCCACACACTGTACATTGATGGGGCTTGTCACCTGTGTGCACCATCATATGAGTTTTCAAAGATCCAAGTTGACAGAATTTTTTCCCACATTCTGAACACTTATGCAATTTATCATCTGTATGAACCATCATATGACTCTTCAAGTGTCCAAGTTGAGTGAAGCTTTTACCACACTCTTGGCATTTGTGAGGTTTAACACCTGTATGCACCAACAGGTGAGTCTTCATATTTCCATGAAGACTAAATCTTTTCCCACACTCTGGACACTCGTGAGGTTTCATCTTAATGATTCATACACCTTTTCTGAAGGTTCTCTCTTCCTAACTACGGCAAGAGTATTTTTGCAATGTGGGGCGTCTCCTGGAGACACAACACTTCTGATGGGAAGGATAATTAGGCCTTGGTGTTGTCTGCCAATATTTATATACTACATGCAGCTTGCGTTTCTTTCCTCCTCCCATTGACTGCATCAGTGGCAATATATGGAGATGCGTCACAGTGGCGCGTCAATGTTCATTATCTAGGCAAGGCTTGAGTGAGGTTGTTGTTGTTGGTGCATTAAATGGCGACGACGAAACTAGACTTGTATTTGGCTGAGGAGATTGTAACGATCTGTGATGCTGCTGTTGTTGTGTAGGGCAGGGTTGCCAGACCCCGAATTGCTGAAAGTAGCGAGCTGACGGTCTAAATGTAGCGAATTTGTAACTAAAGTAGCCCAAAATTTTGTTCAGCAGCTGATACGGTTTGCAGAGCAATATATTTTAATACATAAAGTAACACTGCATGAGTGTATTAATACTATCACTGCATGTATATAATAAAAAAACGTGATAATTGGATAACATAAATATTTGCTGCATGAAGCACAATTCACCTGGTAAATTATATTTTATGCATCAAATTTATCTGAGGGCCACTAATACTTGTGGCCTCGATGAGGACTGGAAGCCGGCAGCTTGTCAAAGGTCCCCCCATTTCCCCCTCCCCCCGTAGTCCCCCAGGACTACGTATCCATGCTGGATACGTAGTCCTGTGGTCCGGGGTTCAATTCCTGGTCCGGCGGAAACAAAAATAGCCAGTTTCTTTCACCCTGATGTTCCTGTTACCCAACAGTAAATAGGTACCTGGAAGTTAGAGAGCTGTTATGGGCAGCTTCCTGTGTGTGTGTGTGTGTGTGTGTGTGTGTGTGTGTGTGTGTGTGTGTGTGTGTGTGTGTGTGTGTGTGTGTGTGTGTGTGTGTGTGTGTATGTGTGTATGTGTGTGTGTGTATTCACCTATTTGTACTCACCAATTTGAGCCTGTAGGATCGAGCATTGACTCTTAGATCCCGCCTTTCTAGCCATCGGTTGTTTACAGCAATGACTCCCACCGGTCCTATTTCCCTATCATATCTAGTTTTAAAATTATGAATAGAGTTTGCTTCCACAACTTGTTCCCCAAGTGCATTCCATTTTCCACTACTCTCACGCTAAAAGAAAACTTCCTAACATCCCTTTGACTCATCTGAGTTTCCAGCTTCCACCCATGTCCCCTCGTTCTGTTAATATTACGTGAGAACATTTCATCTATTTCCACTTTGTCAATTCCCCTGAGTATTTTATATGTTCCTATCATATCCCCTCTCTCCCTTCTTTTTTCTAGTGTCATAAGGTTCAGTTCCTTCAGGCGCTCTTCATATCCCATCCCTAGTAACTCTGGGACGAGCCTCGTCGCAAACTTCTGAATCTTGTTCAGTTTCCTGTAACCGGAACCTTGTAACCCAGGTCCCGTTTGCCGTCGATCACTATAGACTTTTTTGGTCGTTCATCACTGTCAGTATCACTTAAGTTTCTGCACACAGATTTCCGTTTATTTCTCTTGGTCATTGCTACGTGAACAGTCCTGAAATCGTCTTGTTCATCCTCCATCAAAGTCACTGGTTCACAAGTTCACAACTTTCAAGAGCGATCCAAGATGCACCCTTCCTCCTCCACGACTGGGCTAGGGACCTGTAATGGCAACTAAGGTGAGGAAATCTATCGCCCCTGGGAGGATTACCTTACTCTGTGGCTACTTTTTCTTACAAAGGTTCCAAGGATCAACGTCCCCCAGGGCCCGGTCTCTGACCAGGCCACCTTTCGTGGTCTGGTCAACCAGGCAGTTGGACGCAGCTGTGATTTACACACATTATATTATAAATGCATAAATAATGTCACTAACATTATTAACACTGGTAGCCCAAATTAGCCCAACTGATGTTCAAATTAGGCAAAAAGTAGCATGTAGCAAAAAAAAAAAAAAATCGGAGCACAGAGCTGCCAAAAGTAGCCCAATTCGCTACTTTTAATCTAATTTGGCAACACTGGTGATGGTGTTGGTCGCTTACTTGTCCGTCCTATTTTTTTGTTTTCTTTATTTAGAAGTTTGGATAAACTATAATATAATTAATAATCATAATTTATGGTATAATAAATATCCTTCTAAATAATTCCTTGGTGCCTTCTTTCGATACGTAGTTACTTATTTGTAAGTAATTCATAATATAATAAAACTTCTAATATAGATCCAAATTGTACGAATATAATGCTAATATCTTCATGTATAGAATTACTGAAACGACTGCCTCTATTCGTGACCACATCTGGACTAACATAACCTCTCCACTTACCTCAGGAATAATCACTGATAGGACCACAGACCATTACCTAACATTTCTTCTAACCAACATTAATAAACCACTTCTAGATACAACGAAGATAAGCATTAGGCTGCACAATGAAACTTCTATAAGCAACTTTATTGATGCTGCTGTTGCTAATATCAATTTTGATTGGGACTCTGAAATAGGTAATTGTTACTGGAACAATAGGCATAGTTTGTTACTTTTGTGGGGATCTCGTCCAAGGCTGTCAGTCGTAGGCGAAACAGTTTTCCTGCTAGCCTCCCCTATCTAATGAGACGCGAGAGTGTGTAACGATGCCATTCCTGGAAAACCTGAACCTGATGCGCAGGAGGAGAACCTGAACGCCACCACACGGAGTGATCCCCAAGTAAGGTGTAAACACCGAGCGCCGGCGATCCACACCCGACACAGCTCCCCTGGCACTTTACAGTGAAGTGCTCCTATACTCGGTGATAACACAGTGCTCCCTAGACCTCACGGTGAAGTGCCCACAGGTTCCCCCCTTACACAGTGCTCCCAGGACTCCCCCCCCCATGTGGCAGATGACAGTCCAGGAACACATACTCCAGCGACGTCGGGTTAAACTACCCAGTCCTATGTAGACATGCCACTCGCGGGGCTCCGAGATGCAGCACCCCTGGACCTGTCTGGCAAATGCAACTTCTCCAGGTAATAGCCCCGTCTTAGTAAAACCTTGGGACGGTGCCCCCGGCGCACCTAACCTACTCAGGTCCTCGGGACAGTTGAGGTGTCAGGTAAGTGAGGGACGATCAGGGGGAGTGAGGCCCCACACTTGAAAACCTATCCACCGCTGCCCACTGGATGGGGGGCACTGTAACCTATCCACCGCTGCCCACTGGATGGGGGGCACTGTAACCTATCCACCGCTGCCCATTGGATGGGGGGCACTGTAACCTATCCACCGCTGCCCACTAGATGGGGGGCGGTGTAACCTATCCACCGCTGCCCACTGGATGGGGGGCGGTGTAACCTATCCACCGCTGCCCACTGAATGGGGGGCGGTGTAACCTATCCACCGCTGCCCAGTGGATGGGGGCACTGTAACCTATCCACCGCTGCCCAGTGGATGGGGGGCACTGTAACCTATCCACCGCTGCCCAGTGGATGGGGGGCACTGTAACCTATCCACCGCTGCCCAGTGGATGGGGGGCACTGTAACCTATCCACCGCTGCCCACTGGATGGGGGGCGGTGTGCAGGACAAACATATCAATTGTAACACATTGATAAAGTACATTGTAGCAAGGTTTTATATCGACAATATAAACTGACAGAGGTGCATACACTGGTAAAGATTAAGTACTTAGTATGAAGTACTAATATTGCGGAAGTGAGTAGTAAAAGATAGTGTGAATTTGAAGCACACGGTAGGAAACTGACGATGAAATTTGGTACTTTTTGGTTTTAGTTTTGAGCAGGACATAGATTGGCCAATTTTTTTTTAATTAATCTGGGAGAGTGTTCTCATCACTTGGGAAATATTTTTTTTTTGAGATATATACAAGAGTTGTTACATTCTTGTACTGCCACTAGTACGCGTAGCGTTTCGGGCAGGTCCCTGGAATATGATCCCCTACCGCGAAGAATCGTTGTTACAACCAAGTACACATTTTACTGTTGAGTTAAACAGAGGCTACAGTTAAGGATTTGCGCCCAGTAAATCCTCCCCGGCCAGGATACGAACCCTTGACATAGCGCTCGCGGAACGCCAGGCGAGCGTCTTACCACTACACCACGGAGACTGTAAGATATGATGATGATGAGATATAATGCCCCTAATCATAGGCTACCGCCTATAAAGGCTGCATTCGAATGTGTGCAGCCTTGTCATGAGTCTCGGCCTCACTGTCATGAGTCTCGGCCTCACCGTCATGGCACTATACTCATTTCTTTGTTAAAACGATCATTGGACCCGAGCCTATTCTCTCTGCATGAAGGCTTCAGGCGGGCTGGTGAAAATAATGCTCAAACACCTGTCACCCCCCACCCCCCGTTCTCTAGAGTTCTTTATAGCCTGGATGTGGAGTCCTAGAACACTAGAATTCCTCGAATTTTCCGAATTGATCAAACGGCACAACCCGTCGGAGGACGCGTAGTCTCTTTGGTCTGGATCGTCACACTACATCGACTCGTCATTAAATAAGGAACGTCTTTCAATACGGCTATCCTCTTCAAACTCCTGTAGCAAGTATAATATACTTGCTCCATACTCTCATTAGCTAATGTGCAGATAATGAAGGGGGTTGTTAATCCTACGTAACCCATCTCTATTACATTTCCAAAAGTATCCCTTCTTGCCCTGTTCATGTCAGTCCCCCCCCCCTCTGTCCCTTATTTATCCGCTATAAGAGACGATATATTAGCGCCAAAGTTCATTCATTTGTTAACGAGATTAGTTGTGTGGCTTCCGGTAACGGAGGGTCCCGGTAGTACAGTCGGCTTCGTTGTCTAAGCACAATCAAGAATTCTGGCTTCGAATCCCCAGGCGGGACAGAAATTGTTAGGCACATTTCCTATCACCTAATGCCTCTGTTCACCTAACAGTAAGTAGGTACTCGTGAGTCAGTCAGTCAGTTTGTTGTGGGGTTGCATACCGGGCGGGGTCAGTAATTCGACCCTGATTTGGGGAGGGGGGGGCACCTCCATAAAAGCCTAACATGTGTGAATACACGCTGGCTTCCTGTCCCTCCAACACTGAATTAATATAAAACATACCATGGCAACCACAGGTGTTGCCATTTGCAGGCTTCTCAAAGATTAATATTAACAGGTGTGGAGCATGGGATACTCGACGAAACATGCCAGGTGTGATGGCACTCTCCTGCCCCTACAACACGTGTGCCACAGCTGTGCCAGATGTGACGCAATTGCCAAATGTTGCTATCTTAAGCACTTTTCACTGCTACAAAATGATAAACTAAAACATTCGTTTTGTACATTTTTGGGAATGTCTCATGACAAACTGGCCAGAAGTGTTAATGGTGTGGGGCGCTTGGAGAGGAGAGGAGAGGCGAGGACGCCAGAGGACGCCCCAATTCTCGCAGTCGTCCCCGTGTGACAGAACACCTCACACGCTGCTGCTGCTGCTCACCCAGTAAGTGATGGTCTTAAGTAATACAAGTTGAAGGAAGTCGCATGTCACTTGTGAATGGGACCAGCTAGTGTGTTTGCACACTTCCTCGGGGGTAAAGCATGACTTGTTCTGACCACCTGTTGAGGGAAGCCTTGTCATATGACCCACTGGTGAAGCAAGCCACGTAGGCTAGTCAGTCACGCTTGTCTGGTGTGCACATTCTCAGGGTAAAGTGACTCTGATGGCCGGTCAGCCATGCTGTTTATAAACATCTGGATATTTATATAGATATATGTGGTGGTGTGAAAGCATATTACGGTTCCAGTAAGAATCTACATGTAATCTGGTAAGTGAACCTTCGTCCTAAACAAATAATATTCTCAAGATATAACTTTCTTGTGTTATAAATAGTTTAAAATATTAAAAATCTATGCTTAACTCATTTTCTTTGAAACGTTCTGAAGAATTGTGTTGGTCCGTACATGAGAATCTAGGGATTACCCAAATAATTTTCGAATTTCATATTTTCCATACTACATATTGAGAATAATACACCTTATTAACGTAACCAAACCTAACAAAAAACATAACCATGAATAGGGTGTAGAGAAGTGCACTAATTACATACTGGTTTTGATGTGATTACCTCCAGGATATGTCCTCTCTGAAGACAGTTTAGAACTCTTCCTCCTAGAATGATCACCGTGAACCAAAGCTGAATGTAAGTTTTAAATCTTGCAAACAAACGTGCAAATTCTAAATTATGAAAGTTGACACTCTGGGTAATTTGCATTTTCTTTCAGATCCTGAGATAAGGTGAATGACTTCGTCGCCGGGCACTTTGGGAATGACATCAATGCCGGGCACTTGACGGCTGTGCCTTGATAAGTGAGCCTGGAACTTGGTACATGATCCTGGAACTCGTTAAGCGAGTCTGGAACTTGATAGTCGAGTCTTGACCTTTTAACAAGTAAATTTACGACTTGATGAATGTAGTGACGGGATCAGTACGGCCCTTGGCACCAGAGCCACAACTCGGCGGGCAAGGCCAACACTGACAATTGAAGCCGGGACTTAAAAGGTGTCACCTGGAGCTGAGAGCCGAGGGCGTGCCTTGGAGCTAAGAGCCAAGGGCGTGCCTTGGAGCTAAGAGCCAAGGGCGTGCCTTGGAGCTAAGAGCCAAGGGCGTGCCTTGGAGCTAAGAGCCAAGGGCGTGCCTTGGAGCTGAAGGCGTGCCTTGGAGCTGAGAGCAGAGGGCGTGACTTTACAGTACAGACAAGGAACTGAGACGGTTAATCAAAGCTACCATGGCGGAGTCGACACGCCTCTCCGAGCTGACCAAGGCCGATCCTCCTCTTACTAACTACAACACCTTGAAGGATGAAGAGGAACCACAAGGTAAATGGTTTTTGTTTTTAATAATAATAATAAATAATAAATGTTTATTCAGGTAAGGTACATACATACAAGAGATTTTACAAAAATTGATAGATTTATAGATAGAGCTAGTACATACAATGCCTAAAGCCACTATTACGCAAAGCGTTTCGGGCAGGAAAAACATTAAAGACTATAACTTAATACTAATTGAGTTTAAAGTATAAAATGTGTTGAGAACAAGTAAAAATATAAAAGGGGGGAACATGGCTGAAAAAGCAACACAAATACAGTTAGGTCGACAAACAGCGTTGCTTAAAAAAGCAGACATGGGTTGACAATATAGGGGTAAGGTTACAGGGAATTTATTAGGTAGTGCTTCGTTTTTATACTACACTGGTTGAGAGGGGTACAGTCTTTTAACATGATGGGGAAGGTCATTCCACATTCTGGGTCCCTTGATTTGTAGAGCATTTCTAGTTTAAGTCGTACTTTTGGACTATCAAAACTGTATTTGTTTCTGGTGTGGTGCTCATGGGTTCTGTTACAACCTTCAATGAAGCTTTTGAGGTCAGGATTGGCATTACAGTTCAGCGTTTTATATAAGTATAATACACATGAGAGAATGTACAGTGACTTAATGTCCAACATATTCAGAGATTTGAGTAGGGGTACCGAGTGATGTCTGGGGCCAGAGTTGGATATTGTCCTAATAGCAGATTTAGATTTTCGATATCTATAGATGATAGTCGTGGATGGTTGGTGTGTATTAACTATTTGTGCTTGCAGGGTTGGGGCTATTAGCTCTTGGAACCCGCCTTTCTAACCGTCGCTTGATTAATGTGCTGACTTACGACCTATTTTTCTTTTATTATATCTACTACATATTTTAATAATAATAATATAGCAGCATCTTCAGAAGGACATAGCTGCCTGGGAGAAAGTTCAGCTCATTATGGCATATTCTGAACGTACAGTGGAACCATTATGGAGCATCTTGAACGTAGAGTGGAATCTCTATGGCACATCTGATGAGATCCTCATCGGATCACTAGGGCACATCCCGATGGGATCCTTATGGCACATCTGATGGGATCCTTATGACACATCCCGATGGGATCCCTATGGCACATCCCGATGGGATCCCTATGGCACATCCCGATGGGATCCTTATAGCACACCTCGATGGGATGCTTACGGCAAATCCCGATATGATTCTTGGGAGGCGGTGATCCCCCCAGCTCCGGGTGCTGGGGGGTGGCCTGGAGTCATCGTCCCACAGATGGCGCCAGCGGTGTGTTTACCCTGGGAGGAGCAGCATCGTCTGCTAGGAGTGTCAGAGGCGGCCTTCCTGCTGCCCCGGCGCTATGGTGGTCCTGCTTCAGTAGCCCCCAGCGTGTGACAAGATTAGCGTGCAGCTGAGGCTAGGAGGGCCCGGCCCCAGGGGCGCTGCCTTTTCTCGAGATAGCACCATGAGCGACCATGATGTGGACGATATTGCCTTCCTCACAGGTGAGACCAGTTCCTTAATTCTTCTGGTCCAGCTCCCTTGGGCCTCTTTGGTTCAAGTCCCTGGCCACTTTGGCCCAGTCTACTCCCTACCCACCCTCCCTTCCTCTGGACCAGTACCCTGCCGCTGCCCCCCTCTTCTCTGTACCTGCATCCTGCCCCGTCCCCTGCCCCCTGTGGTCTAGCCCCTCTCCCTCTAGTGTAGCTCTCTGCCCCATCTTCACAACTGGTCCAGTTGGCCGCTGTCGTCACTGGTCCAGTTGGCCTCTGTCGTCACTGGTCCAGTTGGCCGCTGTCGTCACTGGTCCAGTTGGCCGCTGTCGTCACTGGTCCAGTTGGCCGCTGTCGTCACTGGTCCAGTTGGCCGCTGTCGTCACTGGTCCAGTTGGCCGCTGTCGTCACTGGTCCAGTTGGCCGCTGTCGTCACTGGTCCAGTTGGCCGCTGTCGTCACTGGTCCAGTTGGCCGCTGTCGTCACTGGTCCAGTTGGCCGCTGTCGTCACTGGTCCAGTTGGCCGCTGTCGTCACTGGTCCAGTTGGCCGCTGTCGTCACTGGTCCAGTTGGCCGCTGTCGTCACTGGTCCAGTTGGCCGCTGTCGTCACTGGTCCAGTTGGCCGCTGTCGTCACTGGTCCAGTTGGCCGCTGTCGTCACTGGTCCAGTTGGCCGCTGTCGTCACTGGTCCAGTTGGCCGCTGTCGTCACTGGTCCAGTTGGCCGCTGTCGTCACTGGTCCAGTTGGCCGCTGTCGTCACTGGTCCAGTTGGCCGCTGTCGTCACTGGTCCAGTTGGCCGCTGTCGTCACTGGTCCAGTTGGCCGCTGTCGTCACTGGTCCAGTTGGCCGCTGTCGTCACTGGTCCAGTTGGCCGCTGTCGTCACTGGTCCAGTTGGCCGCTGTCGTCACTGGTCCAGTTGGCCGCTGTCGTCACTGGTCCAGTTGGCCGCTGTCGTCACTGGTCCAGTTGGCCGCTGTCGTCACTGGTCCAGTTGGCCGCTGTCGTCACTGGTCCAGTTGGCCGCTGTCGTCACTGGTCCAGTTGGCCGCTGTCGTCACTGGTCCAGTTGGCCGCTGTCGTCACTGGTCCAGTTGGCCGCTGTCGTCACTGGTCCAGTTGGCCGCTGTCGTCACTGGTCCAGTTGGCCGCTGTCGTCACTGGTCCAGTTGGCCGCCGTCGTCACTGGTCCAGTTGGCCGCCGTCGTCACTGGTCCGGTTCCCCGCCGTCGTCACTGGTCCGGTTCCCCGCCGTCACTACTGGTCCGGTTCCCCGCCGTCACTACTGGTCCGGTTCCCCGCCGTCACTACTGGTCCGGTTCCCCGCCCCCACTACTGGTCCGGTTCCCCGCCCCCACTACTGGTCCGGTTCCCCGCCCCCACTACTGGTCCGGTTCCCCGCCGTCACTACTGGTCCGGTTCTCCGCCGTCACTACTGGTCCGGTTCTCCGCCGTCACTACTGGTCCAGTTCCCCACCCCCACTACTGGTCCGGTTCCCCACCGCCACTACTGGTCCGGTTCCCTGCCGTCACTACTGGTCCAGTTCCCCACCCCCACTACTGGTCTGGTTCCCCACCCCCACTACTGGTCCAGTTCCCCACCGCCACTACTGGTCCGGTTCCCCACCGCCACTACTGGTCCAGTTCCCCACCCCCACTACTGGTGCGGTTCCCCACCGCCACTACTGGTCCGGTTCCCTGCCGTCACTACTGGTCCAGTTCCCCACCCCCACTACTGGTCTGGTTCCCCACCCCCACTACTGGTCCAGTTCCCCACCGCCACTACTGGTCCGGTTCCCTGCCGTCACTACTGGTCCAGTTCCCCACCGCCACTACTGGTCCGGTTCCCTGCCGTCACTACTGGTCCAGTTCCCCACCCCCACTACTGGTCTGGTTCCCCACCCCCACTACTGGTCCAGTTCCCCACCGCCACTACTGGTCCAGTTCCCCACCCCCACTACTGGTGCGGTTCCCCACCGCCACTACTGGTCCGGTTCCCCACCGCCACTACTGGTCCGGTTCCCCACCGCCACTACTGGTCCGGTTCCCCACCCCCACTACTGGTCCGGTTCCCCACCGCCACTACTGGTCCGGTTCCCCACCCCCACTACTGGTCCGGTTCTCTACCCCCACTACTGGTCCGGTTCCCCACCGCCACTACTGGTCCGGTTCCCCACCCCCACTACTGGTCCGGTTCCCCACCCCCACTACTGGTCCGGTTCCCCACCGCCACTACTGGTCCGGTTCCCCGCCCCCACTACTGGTCCGGTTCCCCGCCCCCACTACTGGTCCGGTTCCCCACCCCCACTACTGGTCCGGTTCCCCACCCCCACTACTGGTCCGGTTCCCCACCCCCACTACTGGTCCGGTTCCCCACCCCCACTACTGGTCCAATCGCCCCACCACTGATTTCACCCTCATCCCCCTGGCCCCACCCAGTGGGCCCCACCCACCGGGCCCCACCCACCGGGCCCCACCCACCGGGCCCCACCCACCGGGCCCCATTTACCCCCCTGACCAAACTCTCTGGTCCAGCTTCCTTTGGCCCCCATTGGGCCCATGTAACCTGCCCACTACACAGTATATCAGTCAGCATACTCCTGTTCTATATATGATATTACAGTGTAACCTCGAATGTCTGGACTATTGTTCTGGATTTCGAATTGGCTAATTTAACTCTCTTTGTTTCAGCCAAAATTATGTTAAGACAACCCAATCCACACATGTGAAAGGAAAGTGGTGATGTTTTGGTCCATCCTGGAAGTTACGACTTTAATGTCATGTGTGTGTGATTTGGGTTATTTGTTTCCAACCTTGTTAATGCGACTTATTTGATGCGTATTAAATATTTGTATATTTAGACACAATACAGTAAGGTATATATATATATTATACATACTGGTAGTGAGTTTTTAATGATATATTATTAGTCTTCTTTATAATAAACATGATTTACCTGGAGCATGCTTGGAGAGGGTTTTGGGTGTTCTTTTTCCTGAGCCCGGCCTGAGGCCAGGCTTGACTTGTGATAACTTGGTCCAACAGGCTGTTGCTTGGAGTGGCCTGCAGGCCCACATATCTACTGCAGCGTGATTGGTCTGGCACTATTTTCCAAGAACCTGTCCAAGTGCCTCTTAAATGCATATTATCTTTGTTCAGCATTAAATGTGTATAACAGCCAACAAAGTTGTTAAAAATATAATTTTGACTTATTGTTGTTCAGTTTATCCTTAATATCCACTAGCAGCAATATTATGGTAAAACAACATGGATTTTCGTCCAAATTCAAAATAAGAGATGCTTTGGAGAGTAAGCCGGCTAAATGCCATATCCTTGGCCCACAACCAAGGGTTCCAAGTTCCATCCCTGGGTAGGGACAGATAGTTGGACTAGTTTCCTTTCACCTATTGCATCTGTTCACCTAGTTGCAAATAGGTTGCCAGTTGTTTGGCAACTGTTATGGGTTGCATCCTGGGCCACTTGGGGTGGACGGTAGAGCGACAGTCTCACGTCATACAGGTCGGCGTTTAATCCCTGACTGTCCAAGTGATTGGGCACCATTCTTTTCCCCCATCCCAAATCCTTATCCTGACTCCTTCCAAGTGCTATATAGTCGTAATGGCTTTTTGCTTTCCCCCTGATAGTTCCCTTCCCTTCATCCTGGGAAAGGTCAGTATTTGGCCTGATCTGCACAATGTGATCATTGCAGCAGCAGAAACCCAGGCTCTTATAATGGAGGGAGACAAAAGACTGGATGATTCTGACATTTCAAGCAGAACACTTTCTTGACCTGGTACGGGACACACTAATTTTTTTTCCTCACACAGCTTAAGCCCACTTGAGGTAACAACATTCTAGGTCTTGCATTAACGTCAGAAGTGAACATTATGAATCAAATACAGGTAGGGGGAGAATCTTCCCTCTGTGTGATCACAATATGTAAGATGGACCTCAAAAATAGAAACCCTAATAAAAATCTTGGTTGATGACTTTCTAGACTACCCTCGAGAAGGAATGAGAGAGGAATTGCAAAACACCTTCTTGAAGGAAACTAATAGAAGATCAAAATGGGGTGAGAATAGCTTGAGCTACCTCATCCCGTTGTGTGTATTTTACCTCAATAAACTTTTCAATTTCAATTTCAATAGAAGATCAAGGTACGGAAGTATCGTAGGGAAAACTTACAAAATGTCATTACTGAACTTGTTCAAAAATATGTGCCAAGTAAGAGAAAGAAAAGAAAGAGTACTGTATATATAAACAAAATTAATAACCAAGCTTAAACTCTGGAGCAGATATCAAACTGCAAAGAACAACATAGATTATGCACCCCATCGTTCTGTTTAAATGGTACTTTTTTAACTATGTGGACCATCATACAGAGACAAAATGGACAATCAGAATAATTTTGTACTACAGTATTCACTTTATAGAGTTCGAAAAAATAAAGCTGAAAACCAAACTTAAATATTCCTGGGCCTAGTGCTGCAGCACATACATGTACTATACTAGACCTCAAATAGCGTGTATTAGGCCTATGAAGGTTAGGTTAGGTTAATTTTTCTTTGCAACATCATTACAAAAACTTTTCCACTTTGTTCATATAAATACAGTAGCACCAATTTCTCCTTTCTAATTGCTTTTTACGTCAGTATATGTACGATGGTCCTCATCGTTACTATAAGTACTACCTAGACAGGAGGATAGGATGGATTATGAGACATACAGAAGGGGCCTTAAATTTAACCACCCAAGAAATCAGATTTGTCAAAAGAAACTATGAAAGAAACCTTGCTTAAAACAAAGGAAGATCGAAAGTCTTTCTATGCCTATATAAAAAGCAAAACCAAAGCACAAGACTAAGTTCTCCCTCCGGTTCTCTCCTTTCTGTTCTCCCTCCCTCTTTCCCATTCCCTCTCCCTCCTGTTCTGTCTATTGTGTTCTTCCTGTTCTCTCTCCATCCCTCCCAGTAACATTATCCATACATTGTGTGTGTGTGATGAACAGGTGGA